ATCCTTCAGGTCGCAGCCAACAGCCACCTTTCACCACGCCGCCGTCCGGCGTCTCGACGACGACACCGGCCGCGACCAAGCTGGCGTCGGTCTAAACGATCGCGCAGTCTCCGGCTCAGCACCACTGGCCGCGCGCCGGGTCTGCAGCTGACAGGCGCTCGCACGCGTGTCCGATCCGGGCATGCAGGAGCTCGTCATCCGTGACGTCATCCCAGCCGTCGGTCACTGCGTTCTCACGCCTTTCCAGCCACGCTCCATCGCCCCACCGGCCGCGGGAGACCGACCCGTCGCTCCACCGGCCGCGGGAGGCTGCTCCACAGCTCCACCGCCATCTGCAGCACTGGCGCTGGCGTCCGTCCACTTCCAGGCGACCGTCCACGCCTGCTGCTCGCTGCTAAACCTCGCCGTAAAGTCGGCTGCATCCACCTCCAGGCCTCGCTGGGTCACAGCTGCCGCCGCACAGAACCGCACGTCTGTCGGCGTCCGCACGGTGATGCCTCCCAGGGCAGCGATGCCACTCATGCCGAGCACGACGTCAACATCCAGCGGTCGGTCCGGCGCTACCAGGACCTTGAGCGTCACTCGACAGTCCTTGGTATCAACCACCATGCTGCCGGTCGCGCAGCATCCGAGTTCCCGGCCGCCAATCGTGGCCACTCTCACCGTCCGCGGTGTCCATCGTTCCCAGTGGCCAGCGTACACGAGCGCATCCGTGCAGCCCGCGTCCACCAGCACCCCGACCATTCGCCGGTTCACCTGCAGCCAGGCGATGGGCAGCGCGCCCTTCAATGGCGGGGAGAAGGCGCCCGCGCTGACGCGGCGTCCCCCGACTCGCTTCCCGTCCGACGCCGCGGGAAGGCGACGGCGACGTGGCCCGACTACTGCACGACCAGCAGCGTCGCAGTGGGTGCCTCGTCGGCTCGCAAAGGCGCCCCTGCACGCGCCACGGCCGCTGCCACACACAGCGACGCGTTCATCGCTGAGCACGGCCCGTGCCCGAGCGAGAACGCTCGCTAGGGCCAGCGCGACGATCCATCGTACACCGGGATGAGCCGGGCGTCAGACGGCCTGCCTCCATCCCGCGTGACGGCCCTACTCCCGCTGGCGCTGGCGCTCCCGCTGGCTGACGCTGGTGTCGTCGCGCCACCAGCCGTGATGGACGTCGTCACACCGCCTGCAGCCGCTGCCAGGGTCTCAGACGTTCTGGCCGAAATAGCTTGTATTCGGGGTCACATCGCGGCGGAACCACCCCACACACAACGGCGAACTGCCGTACACAACGCCGTCAGGAAGACTCTCCCTACGCGCTCCGAGCAGCACCTCTTTCAAGCCCACCCGCGACACGATCGGCGTGCGACTCGCCGGCACCACCGCGTCCCACCCCACCGCGTCCACGGGCTAACGCATCGCCCCTGAGCTGTGACCGTTTCCCTACGTTAACACTGTCCTGGGGCGTGATCTATTGCCACATATGGTCCACCGCTACAATGTACTTAATGTCTGAAGAACCCATATCAAAACTCTTGGAATTTCGCCTTCCCATGAAGGACAATGTTGAAATGGACGAATCGTCTTGGAAAGCTGGATAGTCTATTTGCCGAGTAACATGGATGAGTCGAGTGGGCAAGATTGTGCAATAATGAGAAACACCTCTAGATACATATCTAGCATAGCAGCCATGCCATTTGAATAAAGACCGGTAACAACCTCCATCTGTACCCTTCCCCCCTCCCCCCGGTCATCAGCCTTACTTTCCAAAAAAAGTTCCTGAAGTACGCCCTGAGCTGTGCCCCCCCCCCCCCCCCACTGTTCCTACGCCTATGCACAAACGTATCTATTTCGTTATCATGAAACCATTGCTTGGCTACGCATACACTACAAGTTAATCCTACGACCCGACAAATTGGTCACAACATCACCTCCATTTATCCATGCCTCCCGATGGTAGCGCCCTACTGCAGACCAGTGACGGACGTGTTCGAAGTCCCAAATATATGTATTTATATATATTTATATATGTATATATATACATATATATATATACATATATATATATATATATATATATATATATATATATACATATATATATATAACCCAAAGATTACGGGCCGATATCCAACTTGCGAATGTCAGAATATTCACCACAGATAGAAATGGCGACCGTGAAGAAGTTCTAACCTCTCAAATTCATCCTTCCAGATCAAACGCGGACTCAAAGGGACGTAGAAACGCCATATCACTCAAAAATTACCGGCCAATTTTCAGCTTGCAAATGTCAGAATGTTCAACACAGGTAGAACTAGCGTCCATTAAAAAGTCCTGACCTCTGAAGGTTAGTTTTCAGGGTCAGACGCGGGCTCAAAGGACGGGGAACTCCATATAACCCAGATTTACCGGCCGATTTTAACCTGCTACTGTTAGAACATTCACCAAAGAAAGAACTAACGTCCGTAAAAAGTCTTGACCACTCAGGGTCATTTTCTCAAGGTAATTCTTCAAGGTCAAATGTGGGCTTAAATGACGGGGAATTCCGTATCACCCAAAAACTACCGGTCGATGTAAACTTGTTAACATCAGAATATTCATCGTAAGTATTGGCCTTGAAGACATATTAGAATACTGACCTTGAAGGGTGACCTTGAGAAGTCAGGACTTTCTGAGGGACGGTAGTTTTTTCTGTGGTTAATATTCTGGCATTTGCAAGCTGAAAATTGCCCTGAAATTTTTTTGTGATATGGATTTTCTTGTTCTCTGAGCCCACGTTTGGCTTTGAAGGGTGACCTTGAGAGGTCAGGACTTGTACCAGGACGGGACAGGACAAGTACCGGCATCAAACGGAGTATTTTTGGGATAAATGTCAACAAACTCCGACAAATCCACAATTTTGCACCTGGACGTCACAAATCTACTCAAAACATATGGTTTCTAAAGAAAACGACTTGAGCAAATATCTAAGGACACACAGGTACCACAACCCTGGCGAGCGCCAGCCCCAAATGACCATTTCCGGGCGATCCCAATTCTTCCAGAGGGGTGCTCGTCGTCCAGCAGCAGGGCGCTCGGCCAGGCCCGCGGCCCCGCCCGGGGCCGGGCGCGCCGAGTCGATGACGCTCGGCGGGGCAGGAGTGCTTGCAGTCCTGCCACTATCGTCGCATGCCTTGGCTTGAAAGCGAACCTTGCAGCGCGTCAAATCCATATGCCACAAACGTTAGAAAAGAAATAATGCACGCTATAAACATCGCGCCGCACAAGCCGCTGCACTACAGACAGCAACTCGCAAGTTGTGTAAACTTTGTCCGACCTGTTACGCGCCTGCCATTCCAGCTCGTAGTCCAGATTTTGGAGGGAGGCTCAAAACTCCCAGAAATACACAATACAATGCACACGGCCTTGGCTCATCACGGCTGCTATGCATCATCCACGCTTCCTGAAACATCATAAAGAGCTATCAGCCCATGTGACGCTTGCCTGCCTCGCATGGGTGGATGCGAGCGGCGAGCTCACCCAGCAGCTGCGTTACCCTTTGCCTATCTACTGAGGTGAGCTCGCCGCATCATACATTGCTGCCCCAATTGGACCCCCGGAGACCACAGTTATTGTTGATAATGCCACAGCCGTAGTAAATGTAAACAAGAGCCGGTGCCCACCTTGCTGGTTGCCTTGGGTTCTACGCATCTCTTACAGCATGCGCTGCGCTTCAATATAGGTTTGCCAGGTTGTCTTTTAAGAATGTGGAAAAATCGCCACCGCAGGAAGCCCTGCAATCAGTTCCGAAATAGTCCGAGGCTGTCGGAATGTCACGCAGCTCCGAAACAGTGAAACTGAGAGATTTAATAAGGTCACAGGCAGCTTCAACGTTGATGACTTTCCTTGCAACCCAAGTTCCATGAAACTCCGAGAGATGAGGGCGTAAGGCACTTGTCGACTTATCATGGGATGCCCCACCAAGCGGTGCCAAAACCTCCCCCCCCCCGGGACATATTGATACTAAACATGTTCGATAATTTGTCGTTGCATCGGTGCTATGTGGAGGAACGCGGGCTTTAGGGATCGTTTCATGCAAGGGTCATTCACCTTGGATCATGTTAGGGATGTTCCTGTATGTTTGTATGTTGAGGATGTTCCCGTAAGTTCGGTATGTTCTGTAAGCAAGCTTTGCAAGTAGTGTAGGTAAGCTCTATGCCTACCGAATACCTATGAACAGGGACGCTGCAGAGATGTAGGAGTTTGTTTTGTGGCGTCTGCGTCAAATATACCGCCGGACGTTTGGAATGATCTTTGAAAATATTTGCTGTGTAGATTTCTAGCATTACGCCTGGTCATAAGAGCATGATCTCGCATGCGACCAGTTAACCAGTTAATTTTATCAAATTATGCGTCTTTACCACCATGTTTTAAATACCTGCAACACATGTTTAGCCAAAAATGGATAATAAAATGTGGGCTTAGAAAGAGCGTTCCAGCTTTTTACAACAGTGCTAACAAGTTTGCACCGTAATCCCCCGTGAAACCGGCTACTAACACATTCATACATTTGGCACGTATGTGTAACAAATGCATAGCAGTTGTTAGTTGCTCCCTAAGTTAGCACACGATTAAAGGAGCATTCGAACTTGCCTGACCGATGGGCATGCTAAAGATTTACTTCTTAATTTCCTAGCGAAAGCACAGAACCATTTACCTTGAAAAATGCATTTGATAAGTTGTGAAACTGCTTGGTTATGGTACAAAACTGGCACGTTATGGCTAAGTGTTCCGTAGCTGCAAGGTGTGATGCGTTTAAATTCGCGGTCTATATCAACGTATTTCATGTCTGAAGACCGACCGATAGCCTATTTTGTGCCCGACCAAAAGTTGGTCGATTTATGTAGATTTTCAGTTTCAGTTGAAGGTTCTTGGTCTCCGATTGGCATAATTTGTTACAGGCTGTGGTGCGCTATTTAAAGCGGGCAGATGCAAGGAATGCATCCCAGCTTCGGGACAGCCACACAAATCGATTGCCGTTGTGGACTATATTGAGGACTTCGGACCACAGATCACAGATAACACGCGGGACTGGCACGAAGGCTCATGGTATATGGAGACACTTATTCGCAGTGGTGGGACACGGACAAAGACATCGGAGAGATGTGGGAAGAGGGGAGAGAGGGTAGAAAGTTCTACTTGGGGAGGTGGTCACCCTCGGCGAAGTATCCGTTCTCATCGGCCTGCCACGTGACGGTGTAGGTGACGCCCTCCCATTCATACGAGTAGGAGCCACTCCTCACGTAGTTGCCCGTCTCCGGCTCGTTACCCGGGTACGAGATGCCGCTCTCATCGGACCGGATGCCGTTGCTGGTTTCGTGCCTGGAGGACAGGTGTCCAAATGAGCCAATGCGGTGTTGAAATCGAACTTGGCACGCACAGGACGTCATTGGCCTTGTTCAAGCAGCGAGGGATCATGGCTTTGGTATTTCCTACGGTTGACCACAGTGTTACGACTGAAACCCAAGAAGCGTATTCCACGAGGCGAGAATCGAACTCTGCTTGCTGGTGAAACCTGTGTGTTTGCGTGTCATGACACCAGATGGCAAAGCCTTACAGAAGTGGTGTAGTGGCCGTCAACACGAGCTGAAGGCCTGCCAGAATGTTTGAGATATGTGCCAATCGGAAACACGGCAACCTCCAACAATAATGCCACCGAAGTGTTTCGTAAGTGTCCGGATGCTGGGACTGGCATTCTTACTGGGCATCATAGGAGCCATCCTCGTTGATCTCGAACTGCTGGTTCACGATTTTGGCGTCCTTGTCGGCCCAAGCTAGAGCCACCAGGCAGAGGACAATCACCTGCAACACGTGATACAAGGTCACATTAGGTCAGCGTCGACACGAGAAAGGCGTGAATCCCGTCACCAGGCGACAGCATGTCTGCAGTTCTAAATGCTCGCATCCCGTCGCGCCCATTGTGCGGGGCTCTCAGTCATAACCATCGGAATTATCGTGCGTTGAGTGGTCGGGAATATCTTTAGGGTTGCCTCCTCCCCCTCCCCTAACATGTGGGAAAATTTAGCCCCAGGTTCCTGGCGATGCATGGAAAGGAACAGATCGAAATGCTTCTGAGTCCTAACACTGCTGCCGTTGGTGACATGGCTTAGCTTCTGGTGAGATAAAACTTTTCCGCGTATATCCGTGCACATGATGTCCACCTCATGCTCGTATTTCACAGGGCCGAGTCACCTGCAGATCCCGCATGCACTGACGATCAGAGCGCTGTACTCACGAGCTTCATGTTTGGGCGGGCGAGGCCGGGCGGCTGCTGGGCAGAGCAGGGAGAGTGGTGCCGGTGAGGACACAGAGCGGGGTTTTATAGCAGACTGTCACACCCATCCCCGGCCCGAGGCGACCTATGCTCATCCGCCGCAGACGTTGACCTTGGTGCGTCGAACACCCCGCAGGAGACCGGCCATTGGCGAATAGGGCGACCCCCGCGCTGGTCCACACGCGCGAGCCTCCACGACGCCGGCCAGAACAGTGACAGAGGAAGGCGTGGTGACGCGCTCCACGATAGGTGGCAAAACTGTGCACGGTCGAAATGATTTGAAGGTGTTCCGTAGAATGTCTTCTTCATTCGTAGAATTCTGCGATGATGCCATTCCGATGTCAAGTTACAAGGGACTGGACGGTATAACGGGACAGGACTGCAAAGTACAGAGCAGCACATGACAGAGCAGGGACATGAGTTGAACTGACTTTGCTGAACTTAACTGATCTGGACTGGACTGAACTGAAGCAGCTGAAAATGAAGTGATTCTCTACTCAAAACATTTGATTTTAGTGGATCGGTACTGCCTTTTTAAAATGTCCCACCCTTTCCAGAAAAGATCGGTCCAGACAGGACCGGACTGGATCATGCTGGACTGAGCTGGCTGGATCATGCCATACCGGATCGTACCAAGAAGACCGGAGACAGAGGCGGAGAGATAGACAACACTGTCAGGACAGGATCGGCCCGGATCATGCTGGACCGAGGTGGCTAGATCGTGCCATACCGGATCGTACCAAGAAAACCGGAGACAGAGGTGGAGGGATAGACAGCACTGTCAGGACGGGATAGGACCGGATCAAAGATGGAGATAAGGATGGTCTGGACAGAACAGGACAGGACTGGTATTTAGGCCGGAGTTTAGTCCTGTTATAGTCTCACTCTCTCTACTGATAGGTAAGAGTTCTCCTGCCGTTCAACGAAGCTCATCCAACTGGCTCACCCATTTGCCTTTTTTGTCTTAATCTCCTTTGTCCAAGTTTTGCCGTGTCTATCTCTTTCCATGTTTACATTTCAAGCTGCTACTTGGTATCCTTATAAGATTTTTACTCTTTGAACTTTTGCCAAGTCAACTTGCATTCCTGTTGACTTTGTTTACTCGAAACTCGCTTTCGCTTGGCGCCTTTTTTAATGTTCTCTTTTAGACACTGCCCCATTTATCTTCATCCGGACATGCCCGAGGATCAGTCCAGTACTGCAGGAGCAGCAGGGAGCCTTGTCGTGCTCTCTGCTGGGTGCTCTCAGAGAACGTCAGCCGCAGCGGTGAAACACTGCATTTTCTGCAACCAGCAAAATTTGGACCTGGCTAAAATGTCACCTGGAACCAAATCTTTCAGAAATCGGTGCAATGTAGCTCTCAACGCGAAGCACCACAAAAACGAAGACACGTGGAATGCCATGCGGCATAACCATGAAACATCGTCGTCTCGGTAGTTTATTTGTACTAAGCTATTATTTGCTGGCCATTAGACGCTGGGTGATGGCTGACACCAAGTTGACAAAATGATCAAATAAAGGCATACTTAGCATAACCAGCCTAGAGGCGTGTAGTTTCCTATCCAGTTGGGGGTTGGGGTATTGTGCCTCCTAACGAGCGATGTAGCTTCCTATCCTTGTTTATCATTTTTGTCCGTTATGGTCCATTAACCATAACTTTTTAGGGTTCAGCCCCTAAGATTAATGTTGAGAAACTACACCCTTGTTACCAGCTCAGAAATGAACGTGGGTCAAATGTGGAGAAAAAACATTTTAATTGCAGGCTCACCCTGTTTGGATGCAGGCTCACCCTGTTTTCTCGCTGAGCCCTCCCCTTTCCTCTCCCTAAAGTGTTTTACGAAACTGTATCTCTGTAGGTATACGTATATCGATTAGCTCGGTTCACAAGCACCTGAAAACAATGGCACGTTTGGTTAGGTGACGTCATCGCACGATCAGCAGGAAACGTTGCCGACCTCCACCATCTTCTTAATCATTACCGGTGCAGAACTTGCACTTCCTAACACGGTCTCACTCAACGGAATTTAGCACGAACCCCATGCAATACTGGCATCAGAAGATGTACAAGGCATATATGAACACCTTTTTCATCTCCATTCATCACTGGATACTATATCCTGACAGAACAAAGCGTTTTATCTCACACCTGTCAAACGGGCAGTTCACTAAGTCTGCGGTGCCGCGGGCAGTGTGAGAGGCCAACACCAGCGATGCTCAGCCTCTTGCCTCAAAGCCCCCGTTCCTCTCAGCGGCAGGAAGTCCCGGATGAAGCATTGACATGTGTCGCTCCAACGTCCTCCGTTTATCTCTAAAGCTACAGCTCAGGTATCCACAAACAGCAATCCCAAATCGGCAGGGCTTCTTAACGCTACTGCTAAGAACGACCTCCATGGTAGATCTTTAGAAAAGCCGCACAGCACCTTAAAAAACTGACGATTAACTTCTTTATTCTAGCTAGCCAGCTTGTCACGCGAGCATAGCCAACAGCAGCCCACAGTCATGCACTGAATCCATTCATTACCGCGTGGCGAGCATTCAAACGTCTGTCTCAAATGGTGCGACGCTTTAAAACGTCGCGTAGTAAACGTTCGTCGGAAGATGCTGTGGCCAGCGACAATTATGACTAGTGATAAGCCTAGTTATTTGGCATTTCATACTGTTTAGCGTGTGAAGTGAATCTTGGTTGAAAAATTTGTGAAAGGCATTGATCTGAGGACTTTAGAAAAACACTGTGTCACCACTCATCTCTGACGTCATCACTGGTATAGTATAGTTTGTAGTATATTTCTGTCACATGCTAAAAATACAATGATTAAAGCTACTATGCTTTGCCACATATTGTGGCTGACCTTGCTCAAGCAGCGAAACGTCAACGTTTCGACATGTGCTATACACATTTACACGTCACAAGGGTTGGCGGGCGCAAACCGATACTACGCTTTGAGTTTCGTCAAGGTTGAATGGTCTGTTGTTATATGTTCTGGTCTGTTGTAACTTGTTTTTTCACTATGTCGCCACCAATTGGTTCGCAAGTGTCCGTTTTTGTCAGTGACTGTATCCGGTGTCAGAAGCTCTTTCATCCCTGGGCAGCCGCGTCGCCCTATGCCCGTTCTCTGAGCTGATGGACGGTGACATATGAAGGGATAAGGTGAGCCCGTGGTGAACGCATATAAATGAGATCATGCCCCTGTCCCATAGGCTGCGGCACATGTTGAACGCATTTTGTTAAACGAAAACTTTGATATTTTAGGACTCGTTTAAACTTTTGGTCGCATATACCGACCGGCCTTTTATTTGTCGCGACACTCTGAGTATATTCTAATAATGACATGCTAATAAAATAATTTTACTTTCTCATGACAATTATGGGTCAAAACGTGGAATTCTTTTAACATCATGGTTTTAATTCATTCTAGACTTATCAATAGCTCATGGTATGTTTAAAGTCGATCATTGTTTTGTGTTGCGACTTGTATAATGTCAACATTGGGACAACTCAACGATTTTCAGCTGAAATGGTTCGAACATCCTCCAACGTGCACGGGGTCTGACCCAAACTTAAAGGCGAGCCTTTCCAACTTAAGACAAGACGCTCATGCTAATGATAACGGTGTAAATAAACAAAAAAATCAGGCAATTTTGTTTTGACTTCAAATTTTGTTCAGATGAGAGGAAAAGCCGGCAGTTCTCGGTACCCTGGGCGCATTAACTTTCTCCCCCCTTTCCCAACTTGTATGGGGACCCCAGATTAGTGCTGAAAGTACTTCCCCCAACAGGAGCTTAAAACTATTCATGAGGACATCGTAACAAATCAGAGTACCGCCTGCATCATAAAGTAATGTTTCTTGTAAAGACACTTCACACGCACAAGCATCTCACTGCTCACAGTCTGCAGAGCATTCCGGCAATGTGCAATTAAATAGCACAGGCTTTAGCGGCTAAGGCGCTCCCTCCTCCCTTCTTCCTTCCGTCCAGGTAAGTTTCCTAGAGCCTCTCTTCAGGTGGTAGATCCAATATGTCCCCACACATCAAACCACATGCGTATCAGTTGATGAAAACATCACATGTTAATTACAGCAGTGCCTGCATTGCTGCATACCAGCTGCTTGATGACATTCCTTTCCGTAAATGGTCGGAGCGGAGTGTTCATTTAGGCGGCCCAAAGCTGAATGCCGCAGGCAGTGAAACTCATGCCTCCACATCAACGTCATAGGAACATGTTTTTTCATAACAGATGCGCTAAAAATGCGCAAATGTTTAGTTACGAATAGATGGTCATGTATAATAATAAGATATCGACAGTCGTCATACGAATACACATCACTAGATAAGACAGCACTAGCAGCCCCATTCCGCGGGAAAAAAAACAGGGGAATGGAGATATAGACGTGCTTTCTCCTGGTTTTTGTCCGAGAAATGAGGCTATTACTTTGTCTTATCTATATGAATAATGTTCGTCGCAAATGTACTTAGCAGCTTTCATATCACCAGCTTTGCATACCGTTACCAGTGCGTGGCTTTAAGTCAC